TTGAATCTTGTGATCATTAATTTGTGCAATCAAATACTTTGTACCTTTAGTCTGTTGTCTAATATAATCTTTCAGTGACTGGAGATTCAGAAATTTCAATCAAATTGATGATTAGACCTATGTGTGCATTTTTTATTTTAATATGAGGCGGCTGCTAATTTGTTAATCCCAAAATTTCAAATAACCATTTGATTTTGGTGGAGCAAATAAGTTGATACGGTAACAAACCGTGAAAAAACTAAGGTAGAACGAGACATCATCAATTTGATTGGAATTCCCGATCTTTGCTAACCGGAGGACTGCATTGAACACCAGTCGTATAAGACTTTATTGCATATATTAAGAGTTACAGGACATAAGGATCCAAAATGAAATTACCCTTTTAACTTTCATCCTTTTTTTTATCATATGAATTTCTCAAAAGGATTAAAAAGGTATAAGTATATATTAGTATCTATTGTCATCACAATTATTTTTATGACTCTTGCGAATAGAATAATATTATTTAAATTGATTGTCTTAAAAGTTAAAGTAAATAAACTTTAGCTGCTCGCGACCAAATAAAAAGACTTTGGGAGTCGGTATTCTTGCACTCCATCTCCATTTCTTCTAATTTCTGCCTTCATAATTTTATTTTCTTTCACTTTCCTCACTTCTTGAACAAAGCTTTAAGCAAACCCTTTTTTCTTCTGGAGATCTCTCAGGGTTCTTGTTCTTTCAAGACTAAGCACTCCCATTCTAGCAAACAAAAAGACTAAGCACTCCCATAAAATATTAGGTAACCTAATAAAACCTATACATATATGTCAGAGAAGCAGGATTCATACTTCTTTGAAAATCATAAACCCTTCGCTCTAATCATCTATGGTAGAGCATATATGATGGCATTGCAACTTGGCTACTCCTAATAATATAGCCTTTCTTTTTCCCCTTTTCTTGCAAACCCTAATGCCACAGCCTTCGGTGCATTATTTGTGTAGCCAATATAGATTAGCCAATAATGAGTGGGAAGTACGTTATGAATTCGATAAGGAATTTAGATTTATATTAAAGAACCGCCACTTTCCTTCGCATGCATGAATTGGCCATGATCTCTTACTCCATCCCAAAATGCCAAAAGACCTGCCAAAGTCATAAAAGTTCATGCTTTTTCCATAAGCAAAAGACACTTGTGAACTGTGGTGATGCCATTAGGTAGTAAAATCATATGAGTCTGTAGACAAATGGGGATGAGGATGGTTGTTGGACTGCCCCCATTGCCACATATGGTCAAGACCAACGGGCATATTTTAGTTCAAATGCTAACAGTGACCATCTGTATTAATTAGGGTTCGAATAAGGCCAAACCCTTCTCTCTCTCTCTCTCTCTCTCTCTCTCTGGCCAAGGAACAATAGTAGGTCCCATGAAAAGAAAATGGCAATCAACGATGAGTCAATTTGGTCGGCCAGCCAGCAAGGAGAAACCTCAGCCACATCCTCAATCACATGAGAGCACAGCCAGATACAAACCTGCGCTTGACCTCATGTTGTTCGTCTTAGTATCTTCTTGAATATCTTAAGAAAAAGAATATCAGTATCTGCCCAACTAAATAACAAAAAGAAGATAAGAATGCGAACATCTCTATCTTATAATCTATGACAACACTCATGAAAACCATGAGAGAAGGTCTCGACCTTGTGAGCAAGAATACTCATTCACTCCCCAAAAATCTACCCTCTACATGGTTGTAGCTATCTGTTGTGTTTGTTGAATCTGATATTACCTTTACTATGGTTTTAACGATCATAAGGATGGTGTCTTAACTAAACTGTAGCTAGTCCATGTGACAAGGATCCGAAAGGACATCTCGAATCTCATGCTCAACACTTGGTTGGATTAGTGTGGGTCATCCATCGTGCTTTTTCTCAATACCAACCACTAGCAAGTTTTCCCAATGCCTTGTGTATATTCTGTGGATTCAACCCCCAATGATTGTCCTCCCTATACCCGGAGAATCATATCCTTGTATGAGCACGACTAATGCTTTCCATTTTGATTTGTAAATTATGTTCGCAAGACCAAACTGCGAAGGTAGCGACGTACTAAGAGAGTGGACTTTGTATTGCTCAATCGGGTTTTAGTTGTAGAGGGATGATAGAGAAACCAAATGAGGAGGCCGACGCAGACCAATGAGCTGGCCATCCCAAGACTTCACTCATGATTTTGTACATGGTGATTATCAATATAGCGGTAAATAAATGGAATCGCTGGTCGTGTGATATGAGATATTTATATAACCCATCAGATGCACGACAAATATTTAGTCTTGCCTATGTTACTAAAACACATTGACGACTTTTATTTTAAGATTCAGTAAGTCTATAATATAGTGTCGGAAGCTAGCATAGAACTCAATTGTGAAATGACCATCTTGATAAGCAGTTTATCATTATTATCTTTTGCCCATCTCTAAAGAGAGTAACCTAGGAAGCCCACAGAATTCACAGGACACGATGGAGAAACTCGTTTCTTTTTCAATCATCACGCGAGCCGACAGTGCTCAGTACTGCCCAATTCAACTTTTGTGGTGGATGTCACGTTGGACCGCCGAACCGACCACCACCACCATCCGCCGCCCAAAATAACCCAACTTCTCCAGACCGACAGAATAATCCCTGCAATGCAAAATCGCCGTCTCTTCTCTCTTCAATCTTCACGTGATTAAATTTGGCTCCACCAGCTCTTTTTTTCAATTCAGATCCGTCGTGACTTGCTGCCACCGACTTGGCAGCAGCTCACAGCAGCCGCATTTCTTGTTCTTTTTCGGGTGCGTCCGCGAGTGGCTGTCTTTGCAACCTTCCAAACCCAAGAAGGAGGTGGATCGAATGACGGAGAATGATTCTCATTTCTCCGAACGTAGTAGGTAAGGGGGGGGGGGGGTGGCAAGGCAACGGTCAACAAGAGTGCGTAATGCAAATGCTAGAGCCAGAAGACAGGACCTTTGGAAGTGATATTAAATAAAAAGCTTGGGTACAAAAACCCACCCTAATCAGAGCTCGTGATAACGTTCGAAAAGAGATCTCTTCAAGTCTGCTTGTTCAAAGGGATCTGTAGATGTCGTGTGGTGGTGGTGGTAGGCCACCGTATCTTTGAATTTTGTGCCTCTCTCTTGCATGCAAGACTCGCTCACTAATTGAACGAGCAACGCCACCGATTTCGTGTTTTGGACCAGAGTGTGTAAATGTAATGCAACGGTCGCGTGGAATAAAATTAAAAGGTTCTTCGAAGATGGTCCCGAAGGACAGTGACTTGCCCCAACGGCATGGTCGTGAAGAGAAAATTGAATTTCGAATCCGAATCCAATATGAGGGCAAAAGGAAAATTATCTATTGTGATTATGGGTGATTGGTTCCATGGTGGGTAGGTTCCAAGTCTGGAACCTACCCTACCCACCATGGAACCTACCATGTCATGACCGATTCCCAATTTTTGAAATTTGAAACCTACCATGTTTGTCCTAGAACCTATTTTAGAGCCTACCTTATTTTTCTGATCCGATTTCAGGATCTACCCGAGAACCTATTTTTCTTTTATTCATTTTTCTGGTTTCATTTTTTCTAGCAAAATAATATGAGTAACAATAAAACGATTTAAAGTAAAATATGTATACAAAAATCACTATATGCCAAAAGCAACATTTCCTAAGATGAGCAATAAAAATTCCTATTCACCAAAAGTAACAATCCAAAATGTAGTAATGATATGATCTACACTAAAAACCGATTTCAAAACCAGTCATGGTAGGTCTTCACTTGGAACCGAGAACCGGACCAGTTCCAATCGGTTCCCAAAAAATGGAACCGATTTCTGGACCTATTTTTCAGGTGGTCCGGTCCAGTTCCCGGGTAAACCCGGTCCGGTTGCACAGCCCTAATAGTCTTATGAGTCCAGTAGAAAGGGATTCCCATGAAATTAGCACGCGGCTCTTACTGGGGTACATCATCAAGCTAAGCACCCCCACAGTAAATTGATAAGTCTTTTATGATACAAGTGCACTCGAGTTCAGAGTTATCACGATCATATAAAATAGATCCGACTCCTCCTTGTGAAATGGTTCATCTTTGAGTAGTGACTGTGCGAAATCTCTCTCTCTCAATCTCGGATGTTTTTCCGAGTTTCCAAAAAGTTATAAACTTATTATACGACGATTAATTCAGTCCTAAATATTTCAATTCCTAAACCTTTTAGCGATTTTTCAATGTAATTCTTCTGGTCAATTTTGGCGAAAAATCACTGATATAGCAATCCAATCAACACTATTTGTCTTACGTGGCACAATCGATGCTGACCTGGACATTTTTACAATTCTTTTTAAAATTTTCCTAAGTTTTTCTCTTTTTTTTTTTCTTTTCTATTCTTTTCTTCTTTTTTTCTTATTTCCCTCCAGTAGTCGCTAGCCACGGGCGAAGCCGGGAGCCCCACGCGAGCGACCTCTATGGTTATGGTGACTAATGGAGGGAAATACAGCATAAAGTAGTCGCAAGGCCCCAGAGGGAAATACAAAATAAAAAAAAAAGAGGGAAGGAAAAGGGGAAAAAAGAAAAAAAAATTCAAATAAATTTAAAAAATTTGAAAAAATCATTTACGTTTCAACCGTGTCACATAAAACGACCGATGTTGACTAAACCGCCACATCAGCAATGTCCAGTCAAAATTGACCAAAAAGACTTCATTCAAAAATCGTTAAAAGATTTAGAACTAAAATGATCAAAAGGAAAAATTCAGGACTGAATTGACCGTCACACAATAAATTTAGGATTTTTTTGGACAAATATCCCACGTTTATTGAGCATATGTCGTCCCCTTTTTCTTCTTGTGAAGAAAACTCAATTATCCAAGAAAAAACCGAACTTTAGAACACTCCCGTCTCCCAATAGAATGATCAGGCACGTTAAGATTAGGCACAAAAGCGTGACAATCTGACCATAGTGCACCCACGCAAGCACATACTGTTCTCATCTCATAGTACCCCATTGAGATCACTCCATGGTGATGACCATTCTGAAAGCAGTACATAAGGCAAGAAGAACAAAGTTTGTGCAATGGTTTCTACCAACTGCATCATGCCTCTATACAAATGCTAGCTGTACAAGACATACATCACTAACACTCTGACAAACATCACGCCACGACAACACCAATGTACACTAAACATATCATGAAAGGGTTAAAAGAAGCCAGAACGAGCCCTAAGGTGACACGAAACTAAAAGTAGGGGACGCTGTCGAAAAGAGGCCTTTTTTTTTTATTTTCAAGAAGAGAAGCCAGCTTCCATTGCTCTTAAAATTGCCGCAGTATCAAATTTAAAGTAACGGAAACTTTTCCCAGGGCCTGAGTTAGAAGAGTGAACATTAGACGCAGATCTACTTGGCTGAGGCTCTGATATGGTGGAGCTACTTCCCGTAGAACTATTCTTTGCCTTCCAAATACAAATTCCTGGAAAAGACATGTCGACCTCATTAAAAGCGCAGCCCAGAGAAATTAGCATACACAGAAGTTATCTAGTAAAATCCACAGCAAATGAATTACTCATCATACAAAAGTCAAATCCAGATAAGAAGGGTGATGGCAAGAACCAAAGCATAACTATGAGAACAAATAGCTTGAGGTTCATTTCACGCTAGTACATAATGCAATTTATTATGAAAAATAAGAAAGAAGTAAAATGTTTGACCAAAGTTCTTCTGTGTGACTGCCGAGACAGTGGATAACAAGAACAATTTGCTCAGACACATCTGTTGTCAAGGAAAGGCGGCGACATATAAAATGTAACATTGTAACAAAGAAAGTTGTAGGTCAGATGGAATCCTGGAGCCTGATGAAAACTAACAATTCAAAAAGAATTCCCCTATTACAAGAGATTAGGAAGCCATGACCCTGTAAAGCCAACAACATACAAAGCACAGACTCATCTTACAGTTTCCTTCGTGCCATCCTCGTGGGTTAAATCAAAGGAATGATTGTCCACATCCAAGTTCCCTCTTCTAATATACAAGAATTAAAAACATGGAAAATAATGTATGGAGTAGATGTTTTACTTTGGGCAGAAAAAAATGAAGTAGCCGGAACACCGAGAATGAGGATTTCTGCATGAATTAAATATGGGTCCAAGGTTTATCATGCCTCATAACATTAAACCCCTTAATTGTATCCTAGAACATCAATTCCCATTTGTTATGTATTCAAAATAATCTGATACTTGAAAAGAAGACCCTTCACGAGTTAATTGACGGTCAAATCAAAGAGTTTCCCATCTACTCTGAGAGAAATGAAGGTCAAGTCACTCTACTGGCATATATTGATGCTTTGCATAGATGAAAAGAAACGCAAGACATTTTTTAATACATTATTTTTATTAACTTGTCTCAACTAAACATCTCTGTCCCAACAACATCGATGTGGAAACACCATACGTCTTATTATGTGGAAGACTATCAGGAGTTCAAAAGGAGAGTAACCTTTAAGAGGTATATGAGATCTTGCAGGAGGAGGCTGATGTGCCAAAATCCAGGACTTCAAAGATCTGCAAATACAAATAATTATATAGACGGTTCAGAAATGCAATTTCCAAAGTTTTTTTTTTTTGGTTGAAACACAAAAATCTTGTCAAATTAGATGTGGAAGCACGCACGCCAAGAAAGGAGCCACCATATATAGCTTGAGCCCAATTATACTACGAGATATCACGGCGTCATTTGCAGGCTGAAGCTCATCGAGGCGGTGCCATGCAATTTCCTGCAAATAAATGAAAGAAATGATTTTCGAGAGACGAGTGTTAATTTCATCCCTTACTTAGCTTCAACCCCCTCCCTCTTCTCAGGTCTAACCCAATATTATAGCAGGAGCAAGACATTATATACAAAAGTTGATATAGCTACAACTCAGCATAATGCTTTAAACACAGTGTGGCAAATTTTAGACTATGAATAAATCCTTAAGCTGCAAATACAGTAATCCCAGGACCACAAGCTCACAAAATCCGAGACTGCAATTGAAACATTTATTCAGGAGGACAACTGGACAAAAAGCCACGTCTTCCATGTTTAGCTTCAGCAACAAAGCAGTGTTCATTTGTTCCTTAAGAAGGACGAAACTGTTTGGTCTCCATTCTACATGACGTAAAATGCTAACAAATGCAGCTTGCAAATTAAAGCGGGTGACATATTGCCCAAACAGAAGACATACACTAATCTCTTTTTTAGTAAGTGGAGCAAAGGCAGTATCATCCTTCACGCCTGCAATTACATACAACCGCACTCTCTGCTGTCCAAATATCATCTCAATATACTCATCCTTATTGAGAAGGTTTGATACATCAAAACCTGTTTCCTCTAGGACCTGCATTGGCCATGAGAAAGAACGAGTCAGCAGCATATTAATGTCTTGTGGCTTAGATGTGAGAAAAGCGATGAAGTAGCATTTCCATACAGTTCCCCAAACTCAGCTGATTGAACTTTGATGAAGTTATAGATGGGAACAAAATCATGTGTGAATTGTTATGACACACAATAGCACTAAGTACCATACCAAACAGAAAATTTTTCAGCCAAAACACAAACCAACTTCAGTCACTATTTGCCAACCCAAGTTTCAGAGAAGATGTTTCCTCCTACTCATTTTCCTGAAAGGAAAACAAATAACCAAAATCCTTTTCATTTCGCTCTATGTTTTAGTCTTTCTCGATTCAAACAAAGAGAAACTAGAGTACTCTATATTCTTAATGAGTAGGGGTTCAAACCCTTTCTCACACCTAGGCTATCCCTAATTGCATACTCAACTCTAGGGGTGAGCACCGGTCCAGTCCAACCCGAGAGCATGACCAAACTGGCCAATTCTAGGCGGTTCCTGGTTCCCAAAATTTAGAACTGGTGTGCCTAGACTTTCTTTCCTTTCTTTTTCGTAATTTTTTTCTCTTCTAAACTAAAGCTGCATTGGCCCTTTGGGCAGAGGCAAAACCCTAGCCTCTCCATCACAGCTCTCAACTCTCTCGCCTCCCTCTCTCGCTCTCGCTCTCGCCTTGCCTCTCAGCTTTTGGACTTCCGTGGGATTCATCACCAGACACCCTACAATAGTGAAAATAAGTACCTAGTCTAGCAAAGGTTCCGTACTGGAGGGTACATAATAGAGTAGACATATCAGTACAGGTAGCCCATTCAGGATAATTGAAGAAGTTCTGGTTAGTGTTGTTGATGCAGATGTTGCTATTATAGTGTGGTTATATCTTGAGATATTTATGAGTGTGTAGTGTGCAAGTTTCTCGAACCAGATAACTATAAGAATAATTAGTTGTGGCCAAGGTTTTTAGTCAAATTGAAAGGAGGTGTTTGGATGTACAATTATGTCCAAGCAAACATCAGGAAAAACATATATATGTATTGTCTTCTTGAATTTTCCTCTGGAGATGGAGGCCTATTCATTTTCAATTGAAAGGACCAGCTTTTTTTCTCTGTGTTTGATGCCATGTAGTTGTTTTGAAGTGTGCTTTAAGACACCGCAGTTCCTGAGACAAGCTGAGAACCAGACTAGGACCGGCCGATCCAGTCCAGTTTGATTCCCAGGGTGATCAGGGTCGGTTCCTAACCAGTCCAGTTTCCAGTTCTAAGATGGGAACCGATTGACCCTGGAACTGATCATGACTTGAGTCAAGTCCGCAGTTTTCGAGAACATCTCTATTAACAAGAAACCAACTTCAAGATGTAGAGGGAAAGAAGCTCACTTCTCTAATGGCACATGCATGATCTTCCTCGTCTTTGTTCTTTTTCCCACGAGGAAAGCTCCAGCTTGTTCCTTTCCATCCCTTCACTAGTAGGCACTGCCAAGGGATTATTTTTAACAGTTTTACAATGTTAGGGCTTTACTTTTCATAAAATCATAAAACAAACAGAAAGGGCGCAAAGGAAAAAAAAAAATCTCTAAGCATCCACCAAGCAGTATAATGATGACTCTTCTTTTGTAATTGTAAAGAAAAGTAAGTAAAATGCTAGGTTGTATCATGCAAGTAGTTCGGAATATGACTAACAAGGTCTTTTGTTTTCCTGCTCCTCTAAATGACAGATTCCTCAATTTAGAAGCCCATGGTATTGAACTACATCATGACTTCATAGGTTACATAAAAATCATTGACATTCTTCTTTTCCTTCCTTTCTCTCACAGACAAAGATCATATCAGAACAGATACTAGTAACTAAACATCATGAATTACACGGTCTATAAAGAGACGAGAAATCTTTCCAATGACCATGGATCATTTACTAATTGAGCTTTCTGGAAAGAGGGCAGGCAAAAGCAGGGAACTCATGAACTGACAAAATGGACAACCAGATATGCTTGCCTACCAACATAATCACCTTGTAAAATAGTAATTCACAACGGTCAAGCTTGTTACCAATATCATGACAACTTAAAGCAACTTGGCAGGAAGCTCCAAAGAATGCTTGTACAAGAAGGTGAATCATCTAGAGACTAAAATACTTCAAAGGGGAAATTACCCGTTCGTATGTTTCATCCAAGATAATTGCACCAGTCACAGGAACTCGAACCTTGTAGGAAGTAAAGTCTTTGAAAATGTCATCAATATGAGCTACGTAAGGTCTCAAAACTTCGCAGCTGTTAAAAACTTAGCCTAATAAGGAGAACAACGTGTTGGAATACCGGAGTTTGCAAATGCAAATATGCGTCAGTAACACATACAGACATGCATGCACTAGAGAGAGAGAGAGAGAGAGAGAGAGCTCTTATAGATGTTATGCAATATTACTATCACTCCCAGCATCTAAAACAATCGACTGAAGATAATCATTAATCACAGAACACACACTCCTATCTTCATCAGTTATTATATTTTGGCAGATGATGCAAATCCGACTCAGGCATTTTGCCTACTGTGTCACTAACTGATAGGAACTCATCAAGAAGGCAGTATCAATCTTCTTCCCGATAGAGATGATTGAACGACCGTTAAAATAAGGATGGCTAGACTGGTCAAACAAAGATATTTTTATCACGATTTACCTCATTGAGGGGTCCGTAATTTTAATCAATCTTTGATATCAGAGTCCAAATCATGAGCAGAACGAAATAAATTCTTAATGTCGGGCAAGTTCAAAAGCTCATGCTCCATTCTCATTCTATCATATATAAGGGTCCAAAAATCACCAAAGTCTACGGTATTCCTACGACATCAGATGGAAAGGCGAAAATGCCAATAGAGAACAAATAGCAGTCCATTTGCAAGTTATATCAGGCAAGAGTGGAGAAAAACCAAAATAAGATGAACAAGTGCCAATCACAGAAAGTTCCTGCTTGATATCTGCTTGCTTCTTGCTTACTTGAACCGAAATCACGAATATGAATTCTTAATTGTCACACACAATTAATCCCCATCCTGTCGCATTAGATAACAAGTGGCAGCAGGAGTACAAACAAATGACATGCAAGCAGTTTCAACCATTCCATGCAAAGGAAGAATGGACTCAGCCATGATTTGACAGGTGAAATATGCATGAACAATGCATGTTCTGTAGGATACGTAAACCGGTGAACTCTTTCAGACTCAATGACTTCAGAGACGGATTCTTCTCTACTGAATTATCCTCGTAGAACCAATGGGCATATTCCACAAGAAATAAAATCCTCTCAAATGACTGTAAGTCTTCTTTGGGCACATTCAGAACAAATCGACTGCAAAGAAGTAATATACAAAGAATCAGAGCCAGCAAAACAGGAAAAAGACTTCACTGATAAGCAATTCACCACTGTGCCACCAAGTAGATAACTCATAAGCCGTCCAATGCAGCAAGACATTCAGATACCGCAGATGAAATAACCATAATCCAAACTGTTTGTGCACCTTTAAATTCATAGATAGACTCAATAATCTATTCGTTTTCGCTAGATGGAACGAATATCCGAGAAGAATCATATCCATGGCAAAAATGTTCATTTGAGACCCGATTTACAACCCAGCAGTTCATTTCTATCAAAACAATTGCAGCTACTGGCTGTACATGGCGAATTAAACTAAAGCGATCAGCCGCCCACGAAATGCCAACATGTTCGCAGTCAACCAACCCAGCCAAACTCGAATTTCGTCTCCTAAGCATGAACTCATCATCACCACCGAAATCCGAAACGAGCGCTAGCCTCGCTCGTGTCGTGACTGCAGTCGAACAAGCTCAACCAAAACGAGACCTTACAGTGCTCGTGCCAGATAAGCAGTGAAAAACCTACTTCTGCATACCGAGGTCAACTCCTAGAAGGCTCGCAACGCCCTAAGGCACGCGCGCGCGAGGATACGCAAACGGAGCGAATGATCGATGGAGGCAGCACCTGCAGAGATCGTCGAGGAGCTCCTGCGAAGGGAGGCCGTTCTTGGACGGAGCGCTCGAGGATCGGTGGAGAGACGACATCGGCGGATCGCTCAGCTGATCGGAAAGCTTTTTGCTTTTCCGGCGAGAGGAGGCATGAGGGGACTGGGTCTACGCGCTATCTTCCGCCGCCGCCGCCGCCGCTGCTTCTACTTCTTCTTCGTCCTTGCGTCGTCGATCGTCGCTCTGTTCGATTTTCTGCGCCGTCTGCGACTGTCACTGTGTCGCTTGCTTCGGCGGAACCGGAGCTTCAGGGGGGGAGTCGGACGGGTTTTACCCGACCCGAAGCTTGGTACCCGAACTTGGGCCCTTGGCCCGGAGGCTTATAAATATATATTATACTATATATATATAAATCCCAAAAAGATAAATATCTATAAAGTAATTCCTCCTCATTAATTATGCTTCTGCTAGCTTTTTGAATAGGTTGCAGCGACGGATTCACCAACCTCGAAAATTTGGATCATAGTGATGCAAAGTGGTAAAGTAATGTGACTCAATTCGAATATTCATAAGGGTTTGAGACATAAAATCGTTAGCACTGATTATCTCGTTTCACCGTTTTATTGATAAAAAAAAAAGGATAAGGGCACACGAAATGAAGTAGAGTAAGGGAAACATGATTTAAACTTCATCGGCCAAAACAGAGATATTTGATGTTGTTTTAGCAAGATTTAGATTAGCTCTGTCGAGAGCAACATCGGGAATTAAATGTGTTAAGGGTAGGGGGTGAGCATTAAATCGACTTTGGAATCGTCCAGTTTGGTTCGATTTTGAAGAATCCATTTGCCGGACTAAATTGGTTTGGGTCTCAGTTCTCAAGGTTGTAAGCGTCGAACGATTCCTAAGTTGAAACAGTTCTAAAATGATTTTGCACCAATTAATTATAAATAAATAAATAAATAAAAAAGCGTTGTATTAACCAAGATTTGAACCACGGTCTCCACTTTAAAGAAACATTTCAATAAGCAGTGATCAAAAACTATCTCCTTTTCTTTTAAAGAAAAGAGATGCAATTCTAATATTCATGATAATTTTATTTATTTTTTTGCTTAAAATAGAGAGAAAAGTCACCAGCTTTGGGTACAATTAATAGTGTATCGGCTTAGCTCCGTTTGTTTTGCGAAAAAAAAAATAACTCGAAAAATATTTTTTTCTAAAAATGACGACTCAAGCCGTTTGAAATAATCAACCGGCGAAAAAGAGTTGGAAATTTTTATTATTTTTCGGGAACGTAAAAAACAAAAAAAAGAGCCGCTTATTAATCAAAACGGAAGAAACAAGGGCCGTTGACGAGTGGGCGCACCAAAAATCTGTAGGTTGGCTTCACCTTCACCATCCTCCTCCCTCGTCTTCTTCACCCGCTCGTCTTCTTCTTCTACAACATTCCGTCACCTCTCTCTCTCTCTCTCTCTCTCTCTCTCTACTGAATCGCATTCCCAGCTCCTCGCGGCGCGAAGATGGCAGGTGAAGTTCCTCCGATTGCTCTCGCTCCTTCTCTCCCTCTCTGAATCCGGCTCGTTTCGGCCTCGATTTGCGTTCGTGCACCCGATCTTTCGTTCGCGCCCGCCTGTTTGATCGAGTGAGCGCCTGCGCTGGTGCCGCGCCGCGTCCTGTCATTTGCGATTATCCTTAATCTTAGCTGTCTGCCGCCATCTTGTGTTGTTCTAAGATTCGTGGCCCCGTCTAGAAGAAGCCGGTTGCTTCTTGCCAGTTGCCACGCGGGTTGTATGTAGAGATTAACTGTCGCTTATTGTTGCGAAGGCCTTGGGAACGTGGAAGGCGGCGCTTCGTAACCTCGCGAGTTGTTTGGCAATCTTTCTGCTGTAGAAAGTGACGATGAACGAGAATCTATTCTAAAAAGTTGACCTTTCCCTGCACATGCTTGTAATAATCGATGTGGAGCACTTAGTACTTGCCATATTGCGTGGTTTTGTTTTTGGAGCCGGTTAAATTGTGTTCTCGCCCCAAGCTCTGTATCTCATGCTTGTTAAAGTACAGAGGACTAGTCTTGTAAAGGTTAATGGGTTATGGGCGACGTAGTCTCGTTTATACTACTTTAGCTTTATGGCACGTTTAGTTTGACATGCATTACTGTTGTCTGGGGCTAGTACACAAGATCACTATGAATGGGCTCCCGGAATGGAAAAAGAATTGAGAAAGGAAGCGAATTTGTGATATGACAAAGTGTTCATAGTAGTTACGGGACATATGTATAGAAATGAATTGGGGGTGTTCTAGTCTTTAGAGAGCCAAATAAAAGATAAGGGAACTTGTTTAGAAGTATATGAGCAAGCCGGGTATAGGTTCCAGAACCTATCAAATTTTGTTGAGAAATGTAGTGTTAGAAAGTGCGTAGTATGCTCCCGGGGTGGTATTCTTTGTCGTGAACGATCTAGCCAATGCTCATGACTCATGAATGAGCCTTCCTGCTGTCCGTCAAATGCATTGTCGAGTGACACCGATAAGCAGTTCTAGTGACTAGTCCTCCTTCATTTATACAGGTTAGCTAAATTAAAAATATAAAAGTATATTACCTCTAGTTATTCCAAATGTGTTGACCTTAATTACTAAATCTTGCCACCAGGATATTAGAGTAATGATCTGATATAATTGCAAATTCTTATGCAGCAGCATCAGGGAAGATTATGCAAAATATATTTATAGCAAAGCAATACCAAAAGAATAGCCAGTTTGTCAATCGATACCGAATGGGCTGTTCTTCACCTTATATGAGCAGCATGCTTCCCTTTCAAGGAGGGAAGTTTGCATGGGATGGCACCACTTCCATGCAATTGGTCAACGTATCAAAATACCAGAGAACTTCTGTAAACCGAGGACTTGTACTCTGCAACGGTCTGTTCTAGACTCTCAATATCCAGGTTGTAAGTGCCATAGCATCTAGGATAATCTTAAAAAGAATTCTTGATCTTCATTGCTGCGTCTTATATTTCCTTTTATCTTTGTGTCCTAGCAGGACTCGATTTCTATGCTGATTAGATTATAATTTACAAATTAATGCAAGAAGATGGATATCATACATTCTGGATTGCCAATGTTCACATGAATGCACTAGGAACTAACCAGCCAAATTATCATTTCTGAACTTATTTTGCAGCTGCTCCATCTGCTGCTGCTGCAGTACCAGCTTTAGAGAGAGCTGATTTTTTGAAGCTTCAAAATGGCAGGTATGTTTTGGCGGGACTATATTTAATATCCTTCGAGTAAGTTAAATGCAGTGGCTATGCTGACTTAGAGTGCTACTGTAGTCTTCCTTTCTACTTTCCTCCCTATTTAAACCGTTGCAATTTATTTTATCTGGAATCATGTTATCAGGGTTATTTTCTTCTTCTTTTTTCAGTGATATCCGAGGTGTGGCTGTTGCTGGTGTGGAAGGAGAGCCTGTCACTCTGACTGAACCAGTCACCGAGGCAATTGCAGCTGCTTTTGCTGCATGGTTGAAGGATAAGAAGAAAGAGGTGACACCAAGACGGTTGAGTATTTCCATTGGCCATGACTCACGAATCTCTGCACAGACATTGCTGGTAAGTTGCTCATTCTATTCGTGCTTCTTAATTTAGACTTTACATCTGGCTGCTAAATGGAAAATGTTTAACCGGTAAGTATGATACTCTATTGAGACATGCTGTTGCCAGGTCCTTTTTAAGTTCTTCATGGATTTTTCGCTTATTCGTTCTGAGTGAAGAAAGAGCATGACAAAAATTTTGTTGGCCCAGTGTTACGACTATTGATATTAGGATGGTATTGTCACCTTGGTTTTCAAAAAAACTTAAGAGAAAATAGTTGACCTGATGCCAGTGGTTGATCTTATTATTGGTTGCATGGTTTGGATTTGATGGGTTTTTTTTTTTTTAATTTTGATATGAGATATCGAATTTCTGAATAATTGGAGCTTAGTTGTCAGACTTGCTTAATTTGCAAGTTAGTCTGCAGAAGATACACATTCTTATATAATTTAACGATGATAATGTTGCTGGTGTTTTGTATAAAGACATTATAGGAATTTTTAACACAATTTTCTGTAATAGAAGATGCAATAAACCAATAGTTGTTTTAATGTGAAAATCAGTATGGTAATGGAAGATTTTACTGATCACATTTCAGGATGCAGTTTCTCGAGGAATGTCCAGTATGGGAGTGGATGTCATTCAATATGGGTGGGTGATAATTCGCTTTAGATTTCAGCCATTTCATGCTTCCGATTTGTTTCTGAGTTTCTTGCTGGTGAACAATTTGCATTGCATGATCTCTGGTTTAGTGCTATTAGGATCTGGTAAGTTCAGTATGGTTGGTTTGGTAGGGGGCATGAAAATAACTCTAGTCTAGGCATTGCTTCTGGTGTTTCATAATCTAGTTATGCAATTTTTGTTTAAAGCAGACCTTAGATGTTCAAACCTGGAAACCAATTAGACTGATTTCAACGCTTTAGTGGATTGTCTTTTGCCCCTTTCTCTGCACCATTCTTTTGTGGGATTCATCTTTTACTGAAGTCTGATCGGCACATTGTGTGATGCAGTTGTGTGATGATGTGTATATGCTTTTATTCACGTGTCCTTAAAATTGTTGCTTGAAGAGCAAGTTTTATTTTAATTCTTTATCTTAAAACTGCATAAGTTGCACAGGTCACATAATTGTCTTGTTGCTACATGAACAATTTTGCAGAAGCTTTTGCTGTTAAATACATTGAGGAACCAAAAGATTTGGGTGCATATTGGTTCACAGAACATTTTCCTTTTTTCATTAGAATATTCACAAATCGTTTTCTTTTCCAATTTGTAAAATTTTCAAAACATGTTTGGTACCTTGTTTTCATTTTGCATGAATTGTGCTCTTTCATTTTTTTAATATATATGTTTGGGTAAACTTTATACAAATAGTCCAGATAATTAGTGACTAATTAATCAATACGTGGAATAGATAGACTTGAGTATAATATTTTCTTTTTGTTCTTCTAATATATCGTGTGTCGTTAGTTGAGGTCTAAAACAGGAGCTTCCTATATGTTAAATTAATTTAAAGTATTATGAATTATAGAGGGGGCGATGACCTTTTATTGCATATTAAGGGTAAGGGTATAGGGAAATAGGAAATTTTTTATTGAGAAAGAGGGTGGGGGGGGGCGGTGGCGGCGGGGCAGGTTGGTCTATTGTAGCCTACATTGGAAACAAATAAAGTTCACAGGAGTATGTATCTTGATATGTTGGTTAGATATACTGGACTATGGGTAGATGGCTTGATATTTATGATACCTGTCTACCTCGGAAGACTCCTCCATTTTTTGGTCATTGTCTGGGTGAACATCTAAGTGGTTTATTTTTGGCTTCATGTAGCCTAGCATCTACACCAGCAATGTTTAACAGCACACTCACAGAAGATGATGCAATTCTATGTCCAGTTGATGGATCCATCATGATTACAGGTAACTTGTGATTTTTTTAGTCTCTTTTTCGGGGTACTTCTCTTTTAAATATCTCTGAAGTGGTGATATCAACTAATGACTTCTTGACAATACCTGAGTTTTTACTACTCTTAAATGCTTTGGATGCCAACTCCTAACGTATTTGTGAATGATCAATTTGAAGTTGAGACTTGTTGCTGGCTTCATGCTTGGTGTGTAGATAGTCAATCTCAGAATTTTTCTACTTAATTGAACTTTAGTTTCTCTCTTTTTTCCTGCAAACAGCTAGTCATCTTCCTTACAATCGCAACGGGTTCAAATTCTTTACAAGTGCTGGAGGGCTTGGGAAAGCTGACATTAAAGACATCTTGGAGCGTGCTGCAGATATATTTAAGAACAGTAGTGTTGAAGCTTTAATGGATGCAAGAAATAAAGCTTCTGCATCAGTCAAAAGAGTTGATTACATGACTGTTTATACATCTGACCTTGTTAAGGCAGTGCGCAGAGCTGCCGGAAATATAGGTATTTAATCTAGTACAGTTCCCAGTTAACTTCTGAAACATGAGAATATTTTTCAACATGCATAATGCAAAAAGGGCTTACACCAAAAAAAAAAAAAAATAGTGCGAAAAGGACCAATGTGAGTTATGTCATATCCTTCCTTCGATTGCTTCATGTGGTTACCAGTTGTACTTGTTAGCTAGTAAAGTCCTCTGCACATGTAATTTGGACAAAATATTATTCTTTTCTCTGATTGTTTATCAACTTTTTTACTCTAGAGAAGCCATTGGAGGGGTTTCATATTGTGGTTGATGCTGGAAATGGAGCAGGAGGTTTCTTTGCTGTAAGTTATTTTTAATTGCTGCCTTTAATTTTGTCCATTTAGCATGAGAACCAAGAAGAGATGCATTCTCTACCACACAATGCTGCATGGATTTTCTACTTCATTATATATCATGAATGCTACGGAGCAATAAAGTTAGAGTTTCATGATAATGGTCATGTCTCTCTTCTAGATAATTCATCAAGTTCTGGTTAGAGTAATTATATCTTATCTCAAGCATGTTCTATGTTCTTATCAAGGCATCCACCTTTTCACGCCTTTCGCAATGTGTAGTTTCCTTATATTCACGTGGATTTTCTATTTCTATATTTTATCAGGCAAAGGTGCTCGAACCTCTTGGGGCAATTACTTCCGGTAGTCAATTCTTGGAGCCAGATGGTAATCGCTTGCATGTTTTGTTTCTTCAAGTTTGAATTTGCAATCTCATCTTGATTTTTCCTTTGAATCTCAATAATCTCTTCTTGATAAAAGTTATATTCTGAGAGCAGGTTTGTTTCCGAACCATATTCCAAATCCGGAGGATAAGGTAGCCATGAAAGCTATTACTCAGGCTGTCCTGGATAACAAGGCTGATTTGGGGATTATTTTTGACACAGATGTAGACAGGTAATCGTTTATGTGATCCTTTCACCCTTGGATTACATGACACAGGTGTATTAAAAGAAAGTATGTCAGATCTGCTGCTGTGGATTCGACTGGTCGGGAGTTCAACCGGAATCGTCTGATTGCATTACTGTCTGCCATTGTTCTTGAAGAAGTAAGCTTTACCTTCAAAGATACTAAAAGGCTCTCATTCTTACATATGCTTTCATCTGGAAAAAGAATAATAATTTCTGGTTGTTCTTTCCCCTTAGCATCCGAGAACTACTATAGTGACAGACAGTGTGACTTCTGATGGGTTGACAACTTTCATCGAGAACAAACTTGGTATGGCAGAATTGAATGTGTTTTGTTCGTTCATGGAACTATTTCTGAATTAATACCTGCATCTGGTCTGACATAGGGGGAAAGCACCACAGGTTCAAAAGAGGCTACAAAAATGTCATTGATGAAGCTATACGCCTGGTAAGATTATTATTTTTAACTTCCTTTATTGTAGAAAATACATCTGCGTTGGGGTACATCGCGTGAACGTTCAACAGAAAAGAAAGAGGCAGATGTACGAATATAGGTGGGCTAGAGCCCAAAAAGAGAAATATGAAAAAAGAACATAGGTGCATCACTCCAATTACATTCGCATCTCTCACTGAATCTTTTGCGTGCTGAACATCACACTTCAGTGAGTCATAAAAGTTCCTCTGGACAAATAGCGGCTCTAGCTTAATGTCTCTTCCAGTTTGCTTTTTATGTTACATTACTATTTATATGAAATGAAAATCCTTACAGAACTCTACTGGTGAGGAGTCTCATCTGGCTATCGAGACCAGTGGTCATGGAGCTCTTAAGGAGAATCATTGGCTCGATGATGGGGCATACCTCATGGTATGTTCTCCTATTCAAAGTGGTGCTGTAGATATTAAGCATTTTATATTTTGATTAACCATGAACTCTTTATTGCAACTGCACTGAAAGCTTTGAGTCACAAAATGTTGGTTTTTAATATTTTACAGTCCCAAAACTTATAACTTGTTATAGGTCAAAGTTCTCAACAAACTTGCTTCAGCTCGAGCTTCAGGAGCAGGTAGCGGCAGCAGAGTCTTGACAGATCTGGTAGAGGGTCTAGAAGAAGCAGCTGTTGCTGTAGAATTGAGATTGAAGATCAACCAGAGTCATCCAGACTTAAAGGGAGAGTACGTGGTTTCTTGGTTTCTCACAATGTCCTTTTCCTTTTCCTTCTCTAAGATCCTGATAGCATAGAGGTTACAGATCTTTCCGAGACTATGGAGAGGCAGTGTTGAAGCATTTGGACAACTCTATTGATTTAGAGCCAAATCTTCAGAAAGCTCCAGTAAATTATGAAGGGGTAAGTTTTGAATCGATGCAGTTATACTTGCTAGATTAGACCTCATCACTTCAGCAGCTATCCATGACTGTGTATTATTGTATTCATATGCTGAGGAGGCAAGTTAATCCTCTAATCGTCAATTAAAGTACATACTTTCTGAATGCTCCTGGGGATGGGAGCAAGAAGGAGAGTTAATCATTGCAATAGAATCCACATTGGTTCTGGATTTGTATCTACAAGAGGAGTCAAAATTATCGGTGCACAATGAGTTGAGCAATATGCTGTGTGTTCTTACCGAAATAATATCTGAACTAGTGACTTCAGAGGAGTATTTTACTTTGAAGCAAATGTAGGTCCATCATGCTATCTAGTTAGTTCCTCTCTTTCTCCCTGAATAGCGCAAGACGCTGGGTGAGCTTTGCATTTTGCATGTGATGCTGATCTCTTATCTGATTGCTGCTTAAACAGGTCCGGGTGTCCGGGTTCGGAGGATGGTTCCTTCTGAGGCTCTCGCTCCATGATCCTGTTCTTCCTCTTAACATTGAGGTAGAAGAATCTCTTGCACAAGCTACCATAAAAATGATTTTATTGGACTAAGAATTCAGCTCAAAATTTACCTACTTTAGGCACCAACTCATGATGACGCCGTAAAACTTGGACTCATGGTGCTTGCGGCTGTGAAGGAGTTTGCGGCTTTGGATACATCCGCATTAGACAAGTTTGTTCAAGTATCATGAGCAGATGATCCAGAGCGCTTTGGTACAAGTATCTTTTGGCACATTATACTGGCAGTTAAAGTCGGCTTTGGCATCTACTTCTGTAAGGTACGTCAAATCAGTGCGTCGTCTCTGATTCTGAGGATGGTTCATTTTTCTGACGGTTTTAGTCACAGGTACTCGAAATACTGGTCGATGGCCATGTTACTTTAGTTTTTACTTATGTTCCATGTGTAATGCTACTAAGCTGTTCTGATAAATAAGAAAAGTTCTTCGACGACAGATGTCACAGGTATGTTATTTTACTGGGAGTAGCGATGCAACTTTGATAGAGCTTTTTAAGATTTTCTTGTTTTATAATGTTGGATCAATTTTGATTGCGTGTATCTGCTGATCACCGTTCTTTACATTTAATGTGCATTTTCCGTGCTTAATTGTTGTAATGTCTCCCAAAGAAATATACCATGCATCTAATGTTTGTAATGATGAAGACTTTGGACGTACTGTTGATCTGATCTAAATCTCTCACGGAGCCGAGATTTTCTTGGGCAAATATCCCGTGGTTCGGCGCCCGCTTTCCCTCAATTGCTCATCATTTCCAATCGCGCGTTCTGTTTCACCGTATTGCTTGAACATAGGATGATACAAACGAGGATATGCACAGGCTCTGTGGCAAGTTACAGTGCCTGGTTACTCCGTCGATCTACCATGTGGAATCAGTCTTTCATTTACCATGTTATAAGAATTCCTTTCAACCTATAGTAGAAGTTTCTTGTTCGACCATTTGGTATTTCGCTAGGCGTATTTCATATTTGTTTCGCATAGATTAGAAGGTTCTCTTTCATTGATCCCACTAAGAAAATCTTCGGATACTCGTCCCTGGATGGGATATGATGCCAGTATAAACATAGAATAGTATTTAATAAAAGGGAAAATTTCAAATAAGAATCTGGACCGTGGCCATTTTTTCAAAAGAGGCCGCACCGCATAGTGTACCTAATTTCAAATAAAGTTTGAAATGATCGACTTAGTATCACATCAAGACGTGAGCTCATCGATCGGGGTAGTTCAGTTCGAAATTTTTTGCTTTCACCTAATTTGAAGAAGCCCCAAATTAGCAATTGAAAAGAGGAATACTGTCCACCATCTGCAGAATAATGCTTACGGTGATGTATGGACAATTGCAGTCCAATAAATAAAACGAAGGTAACAAAGTACCTGATCAAAACATTACATGCTTTTTTCTAATATATGCAGTGGTACATGCAAGAGAAAGCAAGTTTAAGCCAAGGTGTGGTACTCAATGCATGATTATTGACAAAATTCAAGGATATCACTTACTTCAGGGATAACCCAAAGAGACAACTTCGCATAAATAAGATCTATTGAAGCACTGTTTGTTAAGGGTGTGTTTGTTTGATTGAAGGAATTTTCCGCGAATTAATTTTCTGAATTTTTACGCGTTTGAATTTGCTGAAAATGATCGGTCAACAAAAAAACATTTATGATAAAAAAGAAGAAGAAGAAATATGCATGCTTAAAATTAGGAAAATGAATTCTCTAACCTGAAAAGGGAAAATTTTTTCCTAAAAAATGATTTCTCAAAAAATATTTTTCTTTATCACGAAATTTTCTCCGAAACAAATCCACTCTAAACTTGAATTTCATCACAGGAACATGAGCATCGGGTACTGGGTGCAGTTCTGAAGCTTTGCTTGTTTCAAACAGCGTTCTCTATAGCTCACCAAAGAAATCTTCCGCAGTTAAGAGGAACGGTCCTTAGTTCATCGAACAATGGAGGAAAGGGGGAAAGTGGCAATTTGGGGCTTCTTCAAATTGGGTCAAATCAAAATGTTTGGACAAAATTGCTCTAGCCCTAGCCGACACAATAAGCACGTGTAATCTGGCCGACGAATGTCTGGCAGGTCGATGAGCTCGGATACTTATTTGAGATAAATCTCACTCTAAACCGTCTTTCAAAAAAATAGTTTCATTTCAGACCATTTTTCGAAAACATAGAGAGCACTTCGCTTGACGTGGAAACTTTGCCATCCCTGTTTGTCCGTAATCCCATCGTAATCAGGAGAGAGTGACTGCGAAACATTCCCTATTTTGCCACACATTGCGGGTGGCATGTCGTCATGATAAAAAATCAGCAATTAGTTATCAAATCAGCAGTCTCCAGCTTTCTCAAACCATCAAAATCTCCATCAAATGCATCGCAATCAAACGTAACTTGAAACTATGTCCTGGGGAGAATTTCAAGGGGTGATGGGATGTCTTGATCATCTTAAGAGCACCATAATGACCGGTTGATGATGAGTCCCCTAGACAGAGAGCACCATCACTTTAGTTGGTACGTTGCTGAATTGAGCTCTTGTTGCATCTGGTCAGACCTGGACTTCCTGCCTAATTATTCAATTTACAACTGAGGAATGGACTTGGATCCCTCAACCACAGATCTTTCCTCCCCACCAATCTGTTTCAGTGCCCTTCAATTACAGCAAGGATTGTGCCACCAATTTGTGGCAATAAAGAAGGAATTTCAACCCACAGAAAATCTGGTTATTCTAGTCCTTAACAACATGGTTGAGATCTTTGTGATTGGTTGTCCAGGACTAGAGTCATATGACTCTACATTACCTGTTGCCTAATTTATTGGGTCAACCTCCAAACAAAGGACATTATTCAATTCCAAAGGTAGTTCAAAGAGTAAAAGAGACATGCTTTGGAGGAATATATAATTCAAGATCAACTTTGTCACCCCACCATTCTTCCATCTGAAGCTCTCAGATGCAGTGACCAGGAAGCATGGTTGAACTTTTATTTTCTTTAACCTTCCTGTTGCATGATGCACAAAGGGTACCAGGTGTAATTCAATGGCCACACTCTTTGGATAGCTGAGATGCCTCTCTTCTTCCCAACAGTCAAATGATTGCTTTTACCCTTATTTCTTTGGCAATGATGGCTTTAGGATTACTGGAATTCTTTGTTTTAACTCCTAATCATGCCATCTTTATGCTTTCCTAAGATTCACCCCCATGTATCATTAGCAATATATTTATCTAATTAAGTCGGTGAACACCTTTTGAAAACTGTAAAAAGAGATGGGACATGGGACTCTTTGGCTTTTTTTACCACATAACCTATTAACAGACGTTGGGATCAAAACATCTAACTCGAGTATCGACTAATCTCAAGACGGCGTTTGGTTATAGAGACGGGACGCGAGATTAAACTCGGCAAAATTGGAAGGCTCTAATGTTTGAATGTTGTTGTCTTGACAGCCTATCGCACGGTGACAACACACCCTTGAATTGTTTAATCCTTCACGGAACACATTTGGACCTTTATTTCTCTCACTGCGAAGTCTTCAAAATCTCCATGGATCAAGCACATGATCACTCCCAAATTTTTTATTCCAAACAGGCATATAACACCACTAGCCCCACATGCATTACTTCAACGACTTTTGTTTCAATATGCTATCAAATCTGGGCACGTCCGTTCCAATCTTGGAGTGTTTGAATTTCGAAAGAAAATCTGCAACAATCTCTTTCTAAACATTTCTTGCGTCTTCTAGTCCATGTTATTATATCAGAAGAGACTAAGGGAGCACAGATAGAAGAGACAGGAGAGAGCATGACCCAAAATTTCTCTTCTGGTCTAACAACTTTTCCACTACAAAATGAACTGCAAAAGAGTTTCCCATGATCAGGAAAATCAAGGACGGAATAACCCAGAAAAGGGAAAACATCAAAACAACACAGGATTCTTCCAATAGCAATTACTCTAATTATCCTTAAGACCTACCAATAGTAATGACTAGATTAAAGGTCTACTCTTAAACTTGATTTGCTCCCAAGTTCTCAGTAACCTTTCTCCCAAATCTCTCATTATAGTTCTCTAATGACTAATGATATTGATCATCTATCGCTCTATTATGCCCTGGTCCGTCCCCTGTACAAAAAAAAAACCAACGAAGCAAAGAATTCCGATCAACGATCGACCAAGTAAGCACGGCTCAACATCGAAAATGGAGATGTTCTGAGTTCTCGTCCAGGAGCAAAGTCTCTCCTTATCCTCCTCCCCTATCCTCACATGTAATCCAACCGGGGCGAAATGTTTGGGATCAACTCCAGTGAGTCGGTCTCTGCCGAGGCAGTCCCGGTGGAGTCGGCTATCTCGGTGGTCATGTGCCTCATCTCGAGCACCTTCTTGTGAGAGTTCGAGTGCAGCGACGGGATGAAAGTCGGGCTCGCCGCAGGCCGGTACTCCGGGAACAGCCTGCCCGACTTATATCGGACGCCGCACGCATTGCAGAGTGTCTTTGGGCCCAGTGGACCGGCCCTCCACTGCGGGGTCTTGGTTATCTCGCAGTGCAGGCACTTGCGGACTGCCTGCTGCATCGGCAGGCCCTGATCCGCCTCGGCGGGCAGTGCCGAAGGCATGGTGAACTTGATCTTCTTTTTCTTCTTGGGCTCAGCACCGTCGGCTTGCTTCTTCGGGACCTTGACAACCAGCGGGCAATCAGACTCTTCGTAGTTCTCGGAGCTGGGCTCGTTCTCCGCGACTTCCGAGGACTGCTGGGAGACGAGTTGCATCGCCGGGCGGGGATTGAACGTCGCCGGCCGGGGCCGCTTGCTCCGAGCCCTGCCGCACCTGGCCGGGTTGATGGCCTCGGGGCTGCGCGGCCCGGGCTTGTTGTCGGCCGAGCAGGAGCTGCTGCTCTCGAGGACCGAGACCGGGCTCGGGGTCTGGAATTGTTGGGACGAGTCCTTGTTGTTGCCATTGGAGACCTGGTCTTTGCTCATCGTGAGGCTCCCTCCCGAGAAGGATTCCTCCACAAAGGTCGACAGCCATTCCAGTTGCACAATATCTTCGTACTGCGCCAAACAAAACCCAAGAATGAAACAAACCCTTCTCTACAGAACCATGAAAACCAAAGCGTTACCAAAACACATATCACTGCTTCATTCTGTCCTATGTTCTCTCTTTCCCGTTAGCAAGTCATCGTTTCACTGCCATATCTAGCATCAAACACTGAACTCAACACGAAGTGGACACACATCTCTAGCATTAAAACCCTATGTTCTTCTTGTCTAAAGATTCATTCGTTTAGGTCCTTCAGCTTGAAAGACAAGTTAGGGAAAAAACCAGTGACATGAACACATAAGAAAATGGGCTGACAAAGAAGGTACAGTCTGACTTATGAACGTGATGCTACGACTTTGGTGAGACCATGGGAGTGAGCGAAAGTGCATCTGAAGCTAACCTCACCGTCACGTAAAGTGATGTTGTGCATTAAAGACCAGACCTTTACGGGTTTTCCAAGCAACAGCGGAAAACTCCAGAAAAGAAAAAGGACAAAGGGAAAATTGTAGCTGGGAAAGCAGAGGAGTCACATGCAAGTCACGTGCCGGCAATCAATGCGGCAATCATTCGGGCCGGGTCGGGCCAGACCCGACCCGCGCGTGACGTCGCCGATACGTCCAAAACGAGGGAGGCCCCACCTCACGTTGAAAACAAAAAAAAAAAGAAAAGCTGGAGGACGATGCACAAAATTCAAAAGAGCCTAAAAGAAGCCAAGCGCGTTTTTGATAATGTAACCGCCTAGTGAACCGGAGTTTCGCGAAACCGACACCCCCCCGGGAGAGGAAAACGAGTTTAGCAAAGTCGGGCGAAAGCTGGTTCGGACATCACACGACGGGAGGAAAGCCTCCGAGGTTAAGTGATGCTTACCGGGACGGAGAGCTCGGCGGAGAGGCTGGAGCTGCTGTTGCCGGAGAAGACCGAGTCGGAGCCGGGCAGCGACTCGGGCTGGGCCGACCAGATGCTCGGGAGCGAGTCGGGCTTCCCGACGGGCAGCCCGGCATCGACGATGTCCTCGTTGGGGAAATCGAGGAGGTCGTCGAAGAAGCTGCCGCAGTCTATCTCGTCGATGAAGTTGGGTCCGGTCATTTTCCTGAGGAAATTCGGAGCGACACGATGTGAGACAATGGGAGGGAAAATTCTTGTAATTTCCTTATCATTCAGCATAAGGACCTTTAAAGTGGCTTTTGTAGTTACTGTATGAAGGTCTGAATTTGAAAAATATGTTGTGAACCCAATAAAGTAAATTACTTGGGGGAAACAAGAATTGAGGGAAAGAATCCGAGAATACTAGCTGGAGAAAGCTAAACTGTTTACCTTAATGGGAAGCTTCCTAGTTAAGAAGAAAAAGGCCAAAAATCTTCAGACACCTGAGATGTCGTCCTCTTCAGGCTCTCCTGCAAAAAAAGCAAGATGAATCCAATTATACTTTCAATCAGTCAAAGAAAAACAGCAAATGAGGTTGCGCAGTTAAAGTCCGTTTTGAGCTTTCCAAACAGAGTCTCAATCTGTTATCCTGTTGAGTGATGGCAATCACGAATTTCTTATGAAACATTACAAGAATCAATGGAGAGAGCCTTGGTCTCTGCCGACACTGAATTGGCCCCCCCATAACGAAGCCCGAATTTTGGAAAAGAAAGGTTAAGGAAGAAGCAATCGCGTTCCCATGCAGAAAAGCCTGGGAATTCTCGATGATTCCCTCTCGCGAATCCCAATGAAACCCCCACTTCCAAAATCCAGACTTTGGTTTTTTTCTAAGATTCAACCAAAACCCAGAATGAAAAGTCAGCTAAAAGAAACAGGGCATTACGGAGAGCCCTGTTCTCTCCATTAAGCTCTGTAGTCAAGTAGAAAGTGCAGAGTAGTAGTACCTTGTAGTGGGGGAGGAGGGGGAGCCCAACCAAGAATTAGAGAGAGAGAGAGAGAGAGGATTGAAAGGGGAGAGAAGAGAGACAGAGGCTAAAAATGGAGGGAGGGAGAGAGAGAGAGAGAGAGGGTGGTGGTAATGTGGGGGGTTAACGTTAGGTGAGCAATCTTGCTTCATTGCTAGCTGTCTTTTTACTCTCTATCTCTCTCTCTCTCATTACCCAAAGACCCCACATCATCCCACCGTTCTAAAAATAAAAAAACTGTTCAAAATAAATATGTTTCAGAGGACAATGCCAGCAGCTCCACCATATCGTCTGCGGTGCTTTTGGACCTCAATTCTGGGGAAGAGTAACGAGGACTTCCCGCAAATCTTAAAGCCATATTGGCGTCAACAGCGACGTTCTAATGGTGAATTCTACCCAGAAAGAACAATAACGTATAAGAAAAGGCGAGAGCTTGAGATATAAATGTCCTGTGCACCGGCGAAGGAGCTCTTTTAACGGTTCTCCTCTTCTGCACCCACCACCGCTCTCCTCGGTTTAATTCTCGTCACGCATTTCAATTTCGCAGCCGATAGTTTCTCTCCCCCTTTCTTGCCACCCACACCCACCAGAAATGGAAAAACAGAGAGAGAGAGAGAGAGAGAGAGAGAGAGAGAGAGAGGATATGTTGATGGGTTTGGAACAGAAAACAGTGGGGGGAAAATGAAAAACAGAGTGCGGGAATTGGCTTACTTTTTCCTCGCCAATTCAGTTCTTGAAAATGGGGATCAGTAAAACTTCAATGGCTTCCAACCCTTCCAGTTCTTTTTGGGTCCCTTCGGAGAGAGACTGTAGAAACAACAACAACAACAACAAGAAAACAGAACAGCGAGAGATCATGCCATGGGTGAGAGCTTGTGGCTTATATACACGCACATGCAGAGACAGATAGAGAGAGAAACAGGACATAGAAAGAGAGAGAGAGAGAGAGCGAGACTCTTTCCAAATTTCACATTCTCGGGGCATGTCAGGATTAACCGCCGTTGTTTCCGACAGTTTATCTCTCTCGCAAACAAAGGGAAGAAAAGAAAAGAGAGAAAAAAAAAAAAAGATGGAATTTTTATGGGGGGGAATCGAAGATAATTTGCTTCTGGAAATCAAAAAGTCAGTGCCAGTTGCTTCGCCACCATGTAAAGCGCGTATCCATCTCGGTCAAATATACAGCCAATTCTTAGCAGTCTTTTCGCAAGCACGACTGAAAACTCCCCAAAAATGAAAAATCTGCGCCTAATTTATATATGGCAAAAGAAGGGGAAAGAACAATCGCAAAAATGGCAAAGGAAATCACTCGAGCCACACACTTTGTTCGAATAAATTGAAGCGAATCTCGCGACATATATGATGTTCAATTTATCGCCAAATTAGTAGCATTGACTGTCAACAAGAGGAGTTGTAGTTCGACGACCGGTGAATCTCACCGACGGGCTACCAGAATTGGAAAAATGGTGAGAATACATAAAAGTTGCAACTATATATGAGCGACCCAATCTTCGCTTTTGTAATTGTGATTTGGATGTTGTTCTTGAATCACGAACAATTAGATAGAGACTACGACAAATGATTAGGAGAGTCATGATATACCACAAAGAAGCATGCAAAAGCGTCTGGTCGTTTGAGTCTTGACCTCTCAAGGTAGCAAACGACTAGGCAGCTCGAGTTGCGTTGTTCTCCCCAAGCAGGACGGAACGAGCGGCGGTCTCTCGTGTAGGGAATAGGGTTTTGAGAGTTATAAGAACAGGCCATGGTTCGTCCAAAGATGGCCATTTTATAATGAACTTTACATCTTAGGATAGATTATTTTCCATGATTGGTGCAAAACCAAATGATAGGTAGAATTAAGAACTTCGAAGCAACTATAGTAACTTCATAAAGCGAATTCAAATGGAAATGCGCGGCGTTATTAGGATGCCATCATGGAACAGATTTGTTTCTATAACTTTATCAAATATGAAAATGAAAACCCATTTTGGCCTTTGCCAGGAGGAAATAGGGTGAAGTCTTAATTTGAAAGTATGGGAGACATGTTTCCATAGGAAGGAAAGAGGATAGGGTATGAACCTAAGAAAGGCAAAGTTTTTAATTGGAGGATTTACGTGGTGTCCTAGGAATGTGCCTCGTCCCTTCCAGTTTTCTTGCATCCACAACATTGGAGATCTTTCTTAACCCTAAAGCAATAGATACACAAATTGGGCAAGGGAGTTCTTTAAACAGCAAAGATAATACATGTATCCATCTCAATGGGGGGGCGTTAAGATCATTGCACGCCGTATAGTCCGAAGTGTTTTCACATGGGTTTGGCGAATTCTTACTTCTCTGAGATTTGGGGATTTAGGGTTTTACCAAAATCTGCAAAAGGAACCTTCCTAACTTAAAGGGGTAATTAGATTTTTCTCATAGAAGAGAGAGAGCGCGAATTGTTTAAACTCTCTCCGTCTCTTCTTCAGGTGACGTGAAATTCATCCTAGATGAGTAAAATCGCGGGCAAATTTGAATAACACGTATATTATTCATATGAATGGATGAAAAACCGAGTGAAAATTGAAGTGGGTCATCCAGAATGGTGAATTGTGCACTCTCTACTATATAGTGCTGCGATTTCTTAAGTTTATTTGTTTAAAAGGTTATCGTACATAAAGGACGCATCACGGGTTCGGGATAGTGCCGTGGTACGACCGTGTTCGAGTTTAGATGACCAATAGAAGTTTAATAGCCCAATTCATGAGAAACCAATCCATACATTTTCCTTGTACACACTCACTTATAGAAAGGCATCAAATCAAACATTTTTTTTCTTGGGGTCACATCGATCTCGGACTTCGTTAATGACTCGAACCAATAGCGGTGGACGAAAACGAAATGCTTGGAGGGGCACAGCATGGTGTCGGTCGCTAGGAACACCCCCATCATGTGAAGAGCACCCAAAAAAAATGTGACTGTTCATGAGGAAGGTGCTCCTCCCTGTCCTTTTGCGGTGGAAATCGATTGGCATTCAGCAGGAAACGAGAGAAAAACCCTTCATTATCGTCCAAAAAACAAACAAAACCCAGTTCAGATAAAACCTAAACTCCACGTATTAACAGCAAGAGAATATCAGAATCGCAGCCGGGCATGTGATGGGAAGGAGGTGGAGCATTTCCATCGATTCGCTGCATTGCATGATCCACGATGCGAAACAGGAGAAAGAGAACCCATGTTGTTTTCTGTGGGGGTGGTGGTGCATGAACAGTAACTGGGATTGGCTGGGACTGAAGAGAGCACATGCTCAGAGGCACGGATGCTGCTGATTTCTGCAGTAAACTATAGTGATAAAATACCTGGCCAGGTACATGAATACCCTGCTGTGGGCAGTCCATAAAGTTTCAGAAAAAATGATATTCAAAGCGAAATATAAAGAAAGAAGCAATCGACATTGATAACGAACACATTGATCTGCACCAGCCTGGTCTCCTGGTTTTTTTTTTTTGCATTTCCTGGGATTCACGAACTTGTACTGTCACCCAGTCCGGACTCTAGAAGCTAAGAAAATCCCGGGCTCGAGGTTGGAGGACACACGAAAAAAACTGAATTTGGATGATTTTCGATTTCGTTTTTCTCTGGTGAAATAGTTTTTTTTTTCTTTTTTTGTTAAGCCTCCAGCAAAATAGTTGATGGAATGAATTGCATCGAAATGCTTGTGTGCTTTTATCAGATGATACAGTAATTCGTGTTTAAAGAAAAGAAAAATAGTACTGGGGCTTCATAGAATATGTTCAACTGCATAAAGTTTGCATATATATATATATATATATATATATATATATATATATATATTTGTTTTGTTTATGTAAGATCTCGAGGCAAAGAATGAAGTTAAATGTAAGAGGTTCCCTAGAGATTACGTCGAGTATCAGGCAAATTTCTTTTATTAAAGTTGACCCCAAAACCCTTTTTTTCCCCTTAATTTTTTAGTCTTTACGTACATCTTAACACTCCTCTTTGTTGTAGAGTTAATAGAGACGACGGAAGCTTAAAAGTCGAAACATACACAAGAATTGATGTACCCGCGAGTAAAGGAATCGCAAAACTCATGACATAAATGGACCGAACCTTATGGAAAAAGAGCTCTCTGTCTTTCCCAATTTTCCTTTTTCCGAGTTTCAAACATGGTTAGAGCGCTGCTTTCTACATATTTCTAATATATTTTACAAATATTTATGAGTTAAAATGCATTATATATACTTTTATAAAAAAATCCCCTTCTTCGCTTAGATAATTTAAAATTTTATATATATTAACATAATCAAGAGAAAATGGTAGATCTCTAATGCAGGGAAGTCTATATGTATCTCTCTACTGATTTCTTTCTTCCTTTCTTATTCGTTGGTGATCATGTTGTGGTTATCTTAGAGAATTACATCACTTCACATTGAAAATAACTATCGATCGTGATAAGAAAAAGCAGACTTATATATATATTATTCGGGTTAGGGAGATTTCACAATTATGAATTAAGTCACATTTATCAATAAAAAAAAAAGATCGTCAGTTTTATCACGCCTAAGTAATCCTTACGAAGTCATGTCTTAGGTGTGATAGACTGAGTAAGTACAATTAGAGAAAGACTCAATATTATATATATATATATATATATATATATATATATATATTAACATTCTTAACGTTCAATCCTGCATATAAATTGGGTATTTATGCTTTATATGAACTATATATGCCGACCAAAAGGAGATTCCCAGACTTATGAGATGTTTGGAACCAGAGCATATGTGAGCCATTCGCCAAAAACGATTTAATGATATTGGTCCCATTATACATAAGTGGTCCTTGTAGGGCATTTATGTACATGTTGATGTAAACAGGAAATTTCGCACCTGACAACCGATTTGTCAGTTCTCGAACTATTTCTAAATAATGCAGCAAATATTGCGAAAATGGCAAAGTTAAGAAGAAAAAAAATTATTAAAAAAACTAAAATGTATCACCCTTAATTAGAGAGCCCTGACCTCGACCCCATATGACATCTACTCAATGCTTGAGAATTAGTGAGCAGTGCTTAGACTTGGTTGAACTGTCGAAAGATATTTTTCCCGGTGCACCACCAAAAGCAGCATAGCTTTGAAATGAAGTGACCATACAGCTGCAGCAGATCATAGATTGGCTGCTTCAACCATATGGACATGATGGAGCAAGCACACCACCAATCTTCCCTTTTTATTTCCTCACTCCGTTTGTGACCTCTAACCTAGCTTCAGACTTACTCTTTGTATCACTGTATCTTCCAAAGTACTCTCTCTCTCTCAAAGGGCCAAAAGCTTCAACAATCCTTTCTTTTCTAGCTGACTTGAGGTGCACTCTTTGCATTTCTTCATTCCAAGAGGCTTTCCCATTCAAAAGGAATACTGGGCAAAGGAAAAAATTTTGAAATATTATTTGTTTTTTTTTCCTTTCCAGAGAGTTTAAGATATTGCTTGGTTGCACGAGATGTAAGGTTCGTGGGTAGCATGTATGAAGTGGTGTCTGATTTGCTATCATGACTAAGTTCAAAACCTTTCATCTTCCATCCACTATCAAAGTGCGGGTCAAAGTATATAAATTTGTACATAGATTTTTGAAATTTATACACTAAATAAGCTGGTGAATTGTATCTCAGCACCATGAATACGACCCACCTTACTTTATATATTAATTTTGCAAGATAGGGTCATCTAATTTTTCTCTTTCTCACCCTTTTTTTTTGGCTTAGACTTTGGTTTCCGTGGCACACCGTCAACTCGTCCCACGATTTCCAAAGTAGAGACATAAACAATAAGCCACCTACTTGATTGACATGTAGGGATACACGAACAGTGTATTGGAGCTATGATTGACTTTCATTTTCTTCCCTTCA